AAATACACCTCAAATTTGGTGCTTTAATCCAAAAACACGGTCGGAGTTTTTTTTTTCTCATTATGCACTGCGTGCTGCAGGATTTTTTTATACAGTGCACACTGACCACACAGACCCATTCTCTCACATGTGGGCCTACCAGCTTTCTCCTGCTTGATTTGAAGCCGCTAGAATTTTTGAGTATATATACATCAAACACATTGGCTCGTAAGACATATGTATACGACCAAAGCAGCCAAAGGGTTAATGAAGGAAAAAAGGTGAGTGGTGCACTGAGGCATCTGTGGAGACAAAAAAACATTATCTATGGAGGCAAAGAAGGAAATGTATGAAAGTATAGTGCCACCAACACTCTTATATGGGTGTGAAGCTTGGGTTGCAAATGCTGCAGCAAGGAGGCAGCTGGAGGCAGTGATGTCCTGTCTAAAGTCAATGTGCAGTGTAAATATTATGCAGAGAATTTAGAGTGTGGAAATTAGGAGGAGGTGTGAGTTACTAAAAGTATTAGTCAGAGGGATGAAAATGGGTTGTTGAGGCAGTTTGGTCATTTAGAGAGAATGGATCAAAGTAGAATGACTTGGAGAGCATATAAATCTGTAGGGTAAGGAAGGAGGGGTAGGGGCCATCCTCGAAAAGGTTGGAGGGAGGGGGTAAAGAAGGTTTTGTGGGCGAGGAGATTAGACTTCCAGAAAGTGTGTGTGAGTATGTTAGATAGGAGTGAATGGAAACAAATGGTTTTTGGGACCTGACGAGCTGTTGGAGTGTGAGCAGGGTAATATTTAGTGAAGGGATTTAGGGAAACTGGTTAGCCGGACTTGATTCCCAGAAATGGAAAGTACAATGCTTGTACTTTAAAGGAGGGGTTTGGGATATTAGCAGCTTGGAGGGACTTCTAAACTGTCGTATCTGAGCATCTCTACAAATACAGTGATTATGTGTGAGTGAGGTGAAAGTGTTGAATGATGATGAAAGTATTTTCTTTTTGGGGATTTTCTTTCTTTTTAGGTCACCCTGCCTCGGTGGGAGATGGCCGACTTGTTGAAACAAAAAATGAGGGTTTACCGTAAATAATATCAGTCAAAGGTTCTCCCATTGCAAGGCATACTGAGGGCAAATTTTTAGGTCTACACCTAGACTGCAACTTGAAATTTAATACACACATTCAAAAAAGGCCTCTCAAACAATAGGCATCCTCTCCAAGATGCAGTACTATGTACCCAAGAAACATTACTTACACTACATCACTCTCTAATCCACCCTTACCTCACTTGTGGTATTTTCATCTGGGGATCTACTACACCAAATCACCTAAAACCATTAATAACCTAACAAGAAGCTGCTGTGAAGACTGTCATCTATTCCTGCACCAGACAACACCCCCCCCTCCCAACCCTACTCTTCAGGAAATTGAACTTACCTAATATACACAAATATGCACTCATATTACTGTGCCTGCTATACATACAAAACATTAAACTCCAACATAAACATTCCTTTAAAACTGTTCTTTGAGAGTTGCAGAAAGAACACACATGCATAACACAAGACACAAAACCCTCTTCAACATCAAATTGTCCAATTTACCCTATGCAAAAACTCATGCACATAAAAGGAATTCATTGCCTGAATCATTGAAAGATCCTGTCTACCAATCAATTTACAGCTATTGTTGATAAATTAGACACATGTGCAACACTTGGGTGTCTTTAATGAGGAAACGTTTCACCACACAGTGGCTTCATCAGTCCATACAAAGGAGAATGGTGAAGAACCAGAGGAGTTTGAGGTAATCAGTCCCTCAGCCTTGAATCGATGTTGTCAGTCCATCAATCTTGAAAAGAATACAGCATATCTGCGGAGAACTGGGTTATATACCATAGGCAGAAGAGGTGCAGCTGTCATAAATTAGGCACATGTGCTGTCTGACACAGCAACATCTTGGGATCTTAATACAGGGAATTCTTCACTCACCTAACCCTTGGGCATGACCTACTTCCACAATGGACAAATGTGATACCACCTACAACTGCTGCACCTCTCCTGCCTATGGTATATAAGCTACTTCCCCACAGATATGCTGTATTCTTTTCAAGATTGATGAACTGACCACATTGACTCACGGCTGAGGGACTGATTACCTCAAACTCCTCCTGTTCTTCACCATTCTCCTTTGTATGGACTGATGAAGCCACTGTGTGGCAAAACGTTTCCTCATTAAAGATACCCAAGTGTTGCACATGTGTCTAATTTATCAACTTGTCAGTTCTCTGAACTATTCATATACATTCCTGTCTGACTCAGCAACATCTTGGGATCTTAATACAGAAAATTCTTCACTCACCTAACCCTTGGGCATGACCTACTTCCACAATGGACAAATGTGATACCACCTATGACAGCTGCACCTCTCCTGCCTATGGTATATAAGCTACTTCTTTCCAGATGTGCTGTATTCTTTTCAAGATTGATGGACTGACCACATCAACTCAAGGCTGAGGGACTGATTACCTCAAACTGACCACACTGGCTCATGGCTGAGGGACTGATTACCTCAAACTCCTCCTGTTCTTCACCATTCTCCTTTGTATGGACTGATGAAGCCACTATGTGGCAAAATGTTTCCTCATTAAAGATATCCAAGTGTTGCACATGTGTCTAATTTATCAACTTGTCAGTTCTCTGAACCATTCATCTGCACAGCTATTGTTAAAAAGCACCTCATCTCCCTAACTTAACAAAACCAGCATTATGCTATATCAAACAAAACCAGCTCATCTAACTCTGTCTCTTTTCTTCTTCCATTCTTCCTACAACTTCCATGGAAATTTAATTACTCATCTTGTTCCATTATATTTCTATTGAAACTAAGTAACTTCCTGTATCTTTACCATCTCTACCAATTATTCCATAAAACTGAAGATATCAAATAAATCTGAAACAACACATCATATCTAAAATTGTATCTGTCATACACTCACTAACTTTTCTTATTGTGAGTAATAATAGTTAACTGTTTAAGAAATACCACTTAACTGATGATCATTAAATAAGTTATGTAAAAGGACACAAGTGCAACTAGTGCAACATTTTACTGTGGCAATGTTTTGCTCTCCAGGAGCTTTATCAAGCCATTACGTAACACCTTGATAAAGCTCCCGGAGAGCGAAACGTTGCCACAATAAAATTTCACATTAGTTGCACTTGTCCTTTTACCTAACAAATTGTCGGTAATTCTACCAACATTAATACAATCATTAAATAAGTTTGAAGTATTAACGCATACTTGTAAAATTGTTCATTTAGTTACCTTTCCTTTTGTACATTTAATAACTTCTACTTAATAATCTGCATCTGTTCTTAAGTAGTTTTTAAGTACTAGGATTTGTTTGCCCAAAATGCACTGCATGCTAGTGGCTTTCTTTTGTGCTTAACAATATTTTATGACAAGCAAACTACATTAACTGTAGTATAGTGCATAAAAGAAATAAAGAAATTGTATTTGTATTTCTTTTAAGCTTAGGAACATCATTTCCTGCAACAGAGAGGCAGATATAAGGGTTGTTCCTATTACCAGTCATTATGCTTCCAAATCTGTTAACTATATCCTCCATCCCAGCCTTAAGAAAATCCACCCTCTGCCTCCTCTTTCTATCCCTGTTACAGAAAGCTCTGTTTGTAAACCTATTCTGAGTCATTAAGTCTCATATGACAATCACTAAATCTAATCTATAATCTGAGTCACCTACAACAATAATTTAGAGCAATGAGTTGTTTGAAGAAGTCCCACAGTTTTTTTCATGAGTGTGATTGAAATGGTAGTATTTAGATCACATTATGCAACCTCTTAAGTTTTAAGGTGTTATAACCTATATCGCATAGTCTGAATTGAAAATATTGTACCAAGCACAAATGAAGAGATCACTTTCCCTCAACAAAGGTAGTGCTTCATCATTTTCTTTGCATAGATTCCTTAAATATAAAAATCTCAAAACATTGCTCCTATGTACTGCACAGTATTACTGTATATTTTAAGCATTCAAATAAACTTTTTATTGGGATATTTTATTTGTAGATTCAATGCAAAACATTCTTCTTTTTGTATGCCTCCTTACATAAGAAATGATTTATAACAACGCTGGAAGACAAAAACTTAAAATACATATCTAAAAAATTACTAATCCTATAGATAAGGTTCTGTCTTTCAATGAAAAGCCACTTTCATTGGGTTGTTTCTTAGTAGTAAATCAATAATTTATATTTTCCTTTAGATTTCCATTTTTTTTGTTTAAATATAGTATTCCTTCAGAAAGCTCTTCACTATTGTTTTTTTACCATAGTACAGTGGCTGCAATCTTAACCACACTGGTTACTAACCAGATGCAATGATTAGCCAAACACCCTCAGAAATTATGGTTAAAAAATGATAGGTTAGAATTTTGTTTTTTGGCTAATTTGACAGAAGTGAGAAAAAGTAAAATAAAAATTATTCGGAACATTTCCCATAAAAATCCAAATTTAAAAATTGCCATTTAATTACAAAACTGTACCAAACCAACAGGAGTCCACCACACCCACACCAAATATTCATATATTCCCAAGATAAATGCATTTGATAAAGTAACAAGTGATTTATATTTTTTTCTAGTTGTTACTCAATTTTTATATATGGTCATTTGAAATATTGCAGATGTGGTGGGTTCCTATCTTTTTGGCATAATTTGGTTAAGAAATGTAGAGTATAATCAAATTACCATTTTTGATGTTCAGATGTATTTTATTTTTACCCCTCAGATGATTTTGGATTAAATTTTCTTATGCATGGAATGAAAATCACTGACAAGTCTGTTAGACTAGCCAAAAAAATATCCATACCACAACTGATTACCCAAAGTGACTGAATAGCCATTTATCTGGAAGAAACTTAGATCCACATACTTTGGAAAATTGAGCAACTACTGTCAATCTGTTTTATTAAATAAACCCTACCTTGATTCACTCACCTGGAAGTATTCTTCTAGCCGTTGTCTAAGAGGGTTAGGAATCTGGTGAAATCTAATGAATTCTTTGACTCTCATGAACTGTGTATGATATCGTGCTGTCCCTGCATATAATCGCTGAATGATTGCCGAGACATTTCCAAAGATACTGGCATACATGAGTGCTGTAGAATAAAGTAGTATAATTAGGAAGACAAACAGAAAAATTAAACTATGGCATACAATTGTACAGGTATTTAGTTCCTATTATTTTTTTTAAACTATTCTCAAGAAAATATAGCAAAGAAGTTGGCATCATCACTTGAACATTTAACATGTAAAATAGAAAAGGAAATTTTTTCTAACTGATAATTTATTCTTTGACTACAGCACCTATATAATGATACTGAAATACTGTACCCATTAAACGATATGCCACATGGCCAAATTAGACACAAAAATTTACAAATTTCTTTTTCACAGTTCTTTTGGCTTTCCCTTATAATTCTCTGTAGTAACATTTTCATCATTTATTCGGAGTGAACAAGTCTTGCCAAAAAAAGCAGCATAAGTAAGAGCTTTTTAAACCTTTCATTGTTGCCACCCCTGAAATTAACCTTTTCACTGTCTCATACGATGAATCTACACCTTAAACACAGTACCCTCTGATATGCTGCGAGTGGTCTATTTTGGCCTAGACGTGAGGGAATGGGTCTGTGCAGTGACTGTACACAGTATAAAAAAAAAACCTGCCCCTCCCCCATAGTTCATAATGGAAAAGCAAATCTCTGACCTTCTGTTTGGTTTAAAATAGCGAGTTTGAGGCATTTTCTGGAGTAATTTTTTTTATTTTATTGGCTGTTCGTGGTATCAATTAACAGAATGTAAGGCATACTAGCAACTTGAAATAGGCCTCAATGTGACAGATTATTATTATAATCAAAAAGAAGTGCTAAACCACAAGGGCTATACAGCGCTGCAGGGCAGGGAAGGATGTGAAGGGTATCGGGTAGCAAGAGGGAGAGGGATAATTAGTAGGTTATGGAGTACAGTGGGGCAGTGGATAGTGCAGGTAGAGGGTAGTAAGAGATTGAGGTAGAAAGGGCTGAGGGGAGTGCTAAAGGTATCATCCTCAGAGTTTGTGGAGTAAATTGGTTGCTGTCAAAAAGTCAATGAGAGAGTCTGGATTAGAGGAGGGTCCATCAGCAAGAAGGGAAGATAAATAACAAAAAAAAAAAAGGCACAATACCATGACTGGAATGATACACAAATAACCCGCACATAGAAGAGAGGAGCCTACGACGACATTTCGGTCCAACTTGGACCATTTACAAGTCAGACTGAAACGTCGTCGTAAACTCCTCTCTTCTATGTGCGGGCTATTTGTGTAAGGGAAGGTAAAGAAAGAGCAGCAGAGCAGAGATGACGTTAATTCTGCATGCTCGTTGATAGAGTGGGAAGTCCAACAGAATGTAACTAACAGATACTGGAACCTGACAATTCTCACAGTGAGGAACAGGGCACCTCTCTATGAGATACCCGTGAGTAAGACGAGTGTGGCCAATGCGAAGACAGGAGAGAGTAGTCTCCCAACCTCGACACTGATGACAAGAAGATGGCCAGTAACCCATACTCGGTTTAATAGAATGAAATTTGTTATAGAGCAGATAAGACCAACACTGTTGTCAATGGATGCAAAGGTGGGTAGCAATTACAGCAAAATAGTCCGTGAATAAAACACCTCTATATGAAACTGGGAGGTCATGTACTGCTGACTGCGCAGCAGTGTCTGCCTGTTCATTGCTTTGTACGTCAACATCAGCAGGGACCCAACAAAAAACAGTATCTTTGTGCTGGAGTTTACCTGGAGTGCTTGGTAGAGATACGGCATAATCAAAGTTGGATACAGAGAACTAGGGGGTGAGGTGTATCAAATTTTCATACAGCCTGCAAAGCACTAAGGGAGTCTGAAACAACCACAAATGGTGACACAGGCATGGATTCAATACGGATAAGTGCTGCAAGAATGGCATACAATTCAGCAGTAAAAATGCTAGCTGAGGATAGTAAATGCCCTCACACAACACTGTCCAGAAACACTGCTGTAAATCCGATGCCATCAGAAGATTTAGAACCATCTGTGTACACTGCGATGGCATGAGAATGAGAGCGGAAGTGGTCAAGAAAAAGAGAGCGGGAAGCTACCACAGGCAGTTGGGCTTTCGTGCATGGCAGTGAGAAAGAATAGACACGAACAGTTGGAACTTCCCAAGGAGGGTAGGGAAAAGTGAGATGCCACATGAACATAGAAAAGTGGTAACTGAAAGGAAGACAAGAGCGAATGTAGGCGAAGAGAAAAGGGACGGAGTAAACAGGGCGACAAACAAATAAAGAATGTTTTCTAACATCAATGACTATTCTACATATGGAAGGATTGCGGAGATCATGAGAGCGAACATAATAGCAAAGGCAATGGGTATCATGATGCTCGGACAAGGATGGAATATTCGCTTCTGCATAGAGACTCTCAACAGGTGAAGAGCAAAAAGCACCAAGGCATAAACATAATCCCTGGTGATGGATGGGATTAAGGCTAGAGAGAGTAGCAGGAGAGGCCACCAAATAGATCTGGTCACCATAATCAAGTTTCGATAAAATTAGGGCTGAATGTAGGCGAAGGAGAGTTCTACGATCTGCTCCCCATGAAAAATGAGCGAGGGTTTTAAGAAGGGTCAGCCGGCTGTGACAAGTTGCCTTCAGAGATGTAATGTGAGGTTTCCAGGATAACCTATGGTCAAACAGAAGGCCTAGAAAGCTGACTGTATCACGTTCTGGGATACGTGAGCCATATCACTGTGACAGAAATGTTTGATTTTTAGCAGTTTTTCTGAGGGAAAAAATAGGGTCCCCATACAGTCCATTTTATGGGTTTTTATAAGGTCTGCTTCAATTACTTAAATGGTCCAAACCATGACAATCATTCTTGATTATATTTTATTACCCAAGAAATATGGTTAAACTTTGATATTTTGTGTGATGTTGGGCTGAAAATGAAGGGCAAGTGTTATATAAGAGAGGCCTAAGGACATGATTAATGAACAGAAAAAGGTTGTTTTAGTGGCTGGGATGTGTAAACTGTTTTTAACCCTTAAACGGTAAAAACGTATATATACGTTTCATTTATCATTCATTCAACATTGGCACGATAGGCCTGAGTCACCTAGACATGAGAGAATGGGTGTGCGCATTCAGTGTGTGCTATATGAAAAAAATTGGGGATGCCTGGGTACCACATGCTCTTTTTTTCCTATAAAAAAAAGCTATTTTTTTTCTCTCAAAATATTTGGAGCGCTGCGCGGGTGAATGTATATGTACATTTGAACTGTTTAAGGGTTAAATTGGACTTTCTTTAATTTTATGTAAAACTGGCCAAAATGCTGATTCCTATGTATATTATAGGGTAGTTTTGATATATAAATGGGCAGTTTATTATGATCAATCAATAGAACAGAAGGCATACTAGTGAAACAGCTAGAAACTGGGTCAATATGAGCATTTGAATCCAAATTGGGCAAAACTGCAGATGCATAAATTGCACCCAGACTACCTGGAGTATACCTGGAAAGGGTTTCGGGGATCAACACCCCCCACGGCCCGGTCTGTGACCAGGCCTCATGGTGGATCAGAGCCTGATCAACCAGGCTGTTACTGCTGGCTGCATGCAAACCAACATATGAACTACAGCCGGCTGTCAAGTACATGACTTAGTGAACTGTCCAGTACCTTCGAGACGGTCAGGGTCTATTTGAATCCCCTTAGTATGTCGAGAAGTAAACTGTCTGAGCCACATGATCTAGGTGTTATTTAGTCACTCTGGACCCCTGCTTTTCATTTGGGGGAGGATGTTAAACATCTTGCAGCCCTATGCTTTCATAGTATTGATTCTCATGTAAAACTGGATAGTCCCTGGATTTCCAATGTATATGTTTATATGTATCTTCTTGCCTGTTTAGAGAGCAAATCAGGAGTTCATACCATTGCCAGTATTTGGTGCTTTCGTACTTATTTTATTTTTTTTTAATCACACTGGCCATTCCCCAAGGAGGTTGGCCCGAAAGAAAACTTTCAATCATTCACTCCATCATCTTTCTTGCCAGAAGTGCTTTACATACAGTTTTAGAATGCAACTTAAACCTCCTTCAAGTGCAGGCACTGTACTCACCATCTCCAGAATTTCAAGTCCGGCTGCCGTTTCCTGAACCTCATAAATGTACTTTAGCTCACACTCCAACAGCACCTAAGTTTACCATCAAATTTCACATTTTTGGAGCCATTACCTTTAGAAAAAGATTCTCTGCCATTTCATGCTTTTTTTCCCTGAAAAATCACCACACTGTCAGCATTTTTAATTTTGGGGATCATGACATTGAAAAGATTGAAAGTGATGAGTGCTGTGATTTTACAAACAAAAAATAATAATTTTTTGAAATGGCAGAGAATCTTTCTAAAGACAATGATGCCAAAAATTTAAAATTGATGGAAAGCTCATGGAATTATGCAGGCGCAAAGTTAACGGTCTGGACGCTGTCTGCATATGTGAAATTTTTCCCACTGAGTTCTACTGCAATTTAAGCCAATTCCAAAACACAATTCAACCCAAATCCTAGCAAATGAGGACAAAAAACTGCTTAATGAGCTATCAGAACTAATCCATAATGTACTCAGAGTTTGATAATTTAGCTAATTTTACACAAAATTATAAAAATTTCAATTTAAAAACGGAGTTCAAAATAAACACTAGACATTCCAGTCACTAAAGCAACATATCCTCTGTTCATTAATCATGTCCCCCAGACCTTCCCTATATAACACTTGCCCTCCATTTTGCATCCATCACAACAAAAAAATTAAGCTTTACCTTATTTCCTATAATAAAATATAATCAACAATGATTGGTGGCTTAGGCCACCCCAATAATTGAAGCAATATCAATAAAAACTCATAAAAAAGACTGGGAGGGTCTAAAGAAGCCCAACCCTTCCTCAGGAAAATCACTAAAAATTTAATATTTCAAGATAATTCCAGTCTGAAATCAGACAAAATCATCTGTAATTTGCTAGTATGTCATCCATTCTATGAATCGATACCAAGAAACAGCTAGTAAAACCATGAAAACCACCCTAGA